CTTGCTCAGAAGCTTGGCAAGGCTCTCAGGTGACTCACTAAGACCAGTGCAGCTGTTAAGATAGTCGATCTCTACAGGAGTTATCCTAGGCCGAAGCGTAGGGGTAACTCTTGTTGAGTCGTTGTGGTCGGAAATAATCTTGACAGGCTCGACAGTAAAAGGCTCAGCGGCATATTCTGAGAACATGGTCACCACCATATCCAAGACGATCTCAAGTTTGGTGGCATCGGTAGCAGTGACCTCGACCAGGATATTCGTAGTGTTCAGGGTGATCTTCGAGTGCTCTCCGTTAATGATGGGTGGCAGAGAGCAGACTATCTTGTTCGCATCATACACAACTGGGTATACCGGCGCATCGCGGATAATGTGCAGGTATCGCCCAAGATGCTTGTCTTTTTCGTAAAATGCCATGAGCTCTTCGCTGTTCATCTCCTTGGTCTGGTTGAGAGGCACAAACTTGATGTCACGAGGAGGGAGAGCTTCATATGTGAAAGGCCCCTGAACTGTGTCCAAGTCATGTGTACCAATCGAAACCAGTGTTCGCTGTCGTGCAAGGTTCTGGTGGAGTTTGTCTTGAAGTGAAATGAAGGATTCGTATCGGTCCTTTGTGAACTTGACGTTGCGCAGGACGGCGGCAGCGATCAAGGGTCTAACTTGGGCAGTCTCGGGCAAGACGTTGATGACATACTGCTCCTCGTCCTTTGGCGCGACAACGCGATAGTTGGGCGTAGGGATCCGGCCCCTGAAGATGTTCAAATTGAGCGCAATGCCCTCAAAGCAGAGCATGTCATATCGGTTGGCCGGGATCTCGATCTTCAGCTGGGGAGGCTCCTGCTCGCCATTGACAATCGGGCGTTCTTCATTTTCGGTGTCTTCGTCGAGTTCAATGCCGTATTCGAAGCAGAGGTCCTCAAACTCCTCGGTCGTGAATCTTACAAAAGGTCAGCATGTGGCCAAGGTGATGCTCCAGATAGTATGGTGGGGGTTAGGAGGGGCAGGTTCTGCGATGTCTTGAAGGAGGTACCAACTTTTGACCAAGCGCTTCGTAAAGCTTATACTTGTCGACGGAAATGGTCGGCATGTCGACGGAGACAGATCGCTGGACTAGCCCTTCGCCGTACAGTTGAATTTGCCTCGCCTTCGAGTGTTGGTACGCAGCTTCTCGGGGAGAAGTTCTTGGTGGGGGAAGCGAGCGTTGTGGCACTTTTTTGGTGACTCAACCTCGTGGGCGCGGAACTGGCTGCGGTACGTACTACTTGGGACCTCACCTCTCGTTCACCTACCCGGCACTGTAGTATCAAGGGCGATAGACGCCAGGCGCCTATTAATGCCCACTGTGAGGCACCCTGGGCCCAGGGGGGGCGGAAGATTGATGCTCCAGATACCCGATTGTTGCTTAGCGCGCTGGTGTTGTTAGCAGGTCCCAGCTGGTGGGTGCGATCAGGTATCGAAGCTCAGCACCAGGCAAGCCCCCTAGCCCACCCGGCAATGTACCCAGGTACCTTCAACGACAGAGCTTGCATCGTGGTTCGCTCAAGTCGCCACTGCTGGCTGACGAGTACATGGACCAGAGCATACCTAGATGTTTGAGCAATGCAGCACGCTTTGCTTTGACGTGACATAGTCAGATAAGATAATCATAATTAAGATAGAGGCTGCAAACACCTACTCAATTCAAGGAGAACACCCTTGCTTCCAATCTCTTCCAGCCGCACCTAATCAGCTGTTCCAATACCAACCTAGGGCTGGGTATCTGCACTGAGGCGAAAGTCGAGGTCAAGCGCTAAGTACCCTCTACTATGACCTGGAAGCTCCACCAAAGGAGCCTGATGTGCCTTGACCATCACACGTCGTTACTCCCCCCGCCAGCAGACCAACAACTGGCTGGTATTATTACCTTGACCTCATTTCCCATCCTAACATCAACACCGGCCTCTCACACGACAAGGGAAAACCCACCATTCAAGCTCCCCCAACGCGAGCCTATCTCCAGCACGGTCTCTTGCACGGTCGCCACCAATTATTTCAGGACGACTCTGCTTGCAGCTTTGTGTGTTGGAGTCGAGGGTCCGCTGCGCAAACGATTTCTCGCACTTCTCCCACATCTCTTGCGATCGCCTCCCTCCTCTACCACCTCCCGCATTACCTATTTCTCAATCCCCTGGTATCGACACACGGCAGCCACCTAAAAGCCCCTGATCTTTCTGGAACAGTATGGCCGACGCGACCAGTACGAGCGATGAGCTCTATCCCATCGCTGTGCTTATCGACGAGCTAAAGGTGAGGCGGTGACATTTGGTGGACTCCGAATCTGTTCTATATACTGATCCTCAATCAGCATGACGATGTCCTTCTCCGACTGAATGCTATTCACCGGCTCTCAACAATCGCCCTGGCCCTCGGTGCTGAGCGCACGAGGGAAGAGCTTATTCCTTTCCTCGACGGTGAGTTTACCTGGAGCCTGTCTAGATTGCTAAATGATCTCTTCCCCGCTAACAAACCATGCTCCAGAATCGGTCGAGGACGAAGATGAAGTTCTGGTAGCTTTGAGCGAGGAGCTCGGAGGCTTCATGGAATATGTCGGTGGTCCTCAGTGGGGTCATGTTCTGCTATCACCTCTGGAGAACCTTGCAGCTATCGAAGAACCCGTAGTTCGAGACAAGGTATGCTACAGAATCAAAGTGATGGACAATTTGCAGTTTGGCCATTAACGACGAACTTAGGCTGTCGAATCCCTCAACAAAATCTGCAACGATCTGTCTCCTCAGCAAGTTGAGGAGTACTTCATCCCCCTAGCAATCCGACTCTCCAAAGCCGACTGGTTCACATCCAAGGTTTCAGGCTGCGGCCTCTTCACAGCCCCTTACTCAAAGGTCTCGCCACCGATTCAAGAACAGCTCCGTCAGCAATTTAACCTACTTGTCCATGACGAGACCCCAATGGTTCGTCGTCAGGCTGCTACAAACCTTGCCAAATTCGTCAAGGAGATGCCCGCCCCCATCGTTGTGGACGAAATGATCCCTCTCTTCCAACATCTTGTTTCCGATGATCAGGACAGCGTCCGTCTTCTCACAGTCGAAATCCTCATTTCGATCGCCGAGGCTGTGCCAAAAGAGCAGCAAGCTAGTCACGGCGTCTTGCTGACATCTCTACGCAACTTGATTGAGGACAAGAGCTGGAGAGTCAGATATATGATTGCGGACAGATTTGAAAAGGTATGGAAAGATGGACTTTTTTGCGTGTAATGTTCACATACTGATCATAATTGCAGATTGCCAAGGCTGTTGACGAAGAGGTTGTGTCAAGGGACCTTGTTCCTGCTTTTGTTAAGCTCCTGAAGGACAATGAGGCTGAGGTCCGAACAGCTATCGCTGGCCAGATCCCAGGCTTCTGTGCGCTCGTTGATCAAACCGTTCTACTTGCCGACATCATGAGCAGCATTGAAGACCTTGTTTCTGACACATCGCAACACGTACGGGCCGCTCTTGGAACCCAGATCAGTGGTCTGGCACCCATCTTGGGTAAACAAGAGTATGATTTTCTCATGACCTAGCTTAGCTATAGATTGCTAATCGTGAACAGGACCATTAACCACCTGCTTCCCATGTTCCTGCAGATGCTCAAGGATGAGTTCCCTGAGGTCAGACTTCACATTATCTCCAAGCTCGAGCTAGTCAACCAAGGTAAGCAATAGTTTCTCCTTTGGATACAGTAGAAATCACCTAACCTAGATTGTGTTTTAGTTATCGGCATCGAGCTTCTCTCACAATCCTTGCTACCAGCCATCGTGCAACTAGCTGAGGATAAGCAATGGAGAGTCCGCCTGGCAATCATTGAATACATTCCTCTGCTGGCAAGCCAGTTGGGGGTTACGTTCTTCGATGAGAAACTTAGCAACCTGTGCATGAGCTGGTTGGGTGATACGGTCTTCTCAATTCGAGAGGCTGCCACACATAACCTGAAGAAGCTGACCGAGGTGTTTGGCGTGGAATGGGCCAGTGAAGCCATTATTCCCAAGGTGATGGCCATGGGCAACCACCCCAACTATCTGTATAGGATGACAACTTGCTTCGCTATTTCGGTAAGATGGAGACTCAATCCGGACGAGCCATCATATGATTTCTCATCGCTGACTCTGATATATAGACACTTGCAAGCGTAGTGAGCTTGGACGTCATTGCCAAGTCGGTATTACCTATGCTGGATAAGATGGTGGAGGATGAGATCCCTAATATCCGTTTCAATGTCGCCAAGACCTACGCGGTCCTCATCAGCTCATTGCGCCGTCTGCCTGAGGAGGGCACCCTATACTCGCTCGAGAAGGAAGGCGCCGAGATTGTTCCTTCGCCGCGCGGCCAGGAGCTCATCCAGCAAAAGATTATTCCTAATCTCGAGAAGCTGCAGAAGGATGATGATGTGGATGTTCGATACTTTGCCACGACAGCTGGGGCTGACCCCACAGGAACTGCGGCTGGCGGAGAGCCAATGAATACATCGCCATAGATGAGAGAAGTAATGAAGCAATTCCTGTTTTGCCAAACGTCTATTCCCCGCTTTCATGATCATACCCCAATCGACGACGTATTGGTCAGGACATACCACAATTATCGCATAGAAACACAATGGTGAAGAAATAAACCGTCACGGCCGAAACTGGAGCCATCAAGGGTGTTTTATGTGGATGTTAGGAGTTTGGGATAGCGCCCACTCAGCGTAGGGAGATAAAGAAAACTGAACGTGGTCAGCCCAATTAAAAAAAAAGTTGCTATTGATGCTGGCGTTCAAGTTGCTAGAGAACAGATCCGAGATATTATGTACATAAATCATACTTCAGCACCCCAAAAGTAACACGTAGAAGGGTTCTATACATTATTGGTGTGTGGAAACTGGCTCACCCCCTCTGGACCTCATTTATCAATGTCGCATAGATACTTGCCCAATACAAAATATCACCAATGCAAAGCTACTATGAATAGAAACCAAGGCAAAGGGGGGGGAGACTATAATTTACGGAAGCAGAGTGTAGTGATGGTTTGGCCTTTGACACCACCAAATGAAAACGTGCGATAGTCAACTCTTCCATCCATTGCGAAACCACCCGGGCTTTCAAACCAGGCCGTTAACTCCTTTTCCGTCCAATTACAGCTCGTAATGATGAATAAACCCCCCTGCTTCACCAGTGGGAGCACTCGCTCCCGATAGCCTTCGCAGATCCGCCTACCCTGAGCATCCTGGCTGTCACTCAGCGAGATCGCATCGAATGTACCCTTGTCGAGTATCACGTCCCAGCCCTCAGCCTCCGAAGCGGCCAAGATATCCGAGTATGATCCTGCAAGGATGTCCCACTCTTGGAAACTCATCCGGGCCGCCTCATCCTTGTCGCGACTCGAGGCAATCTGGTTTGCCAGTGCTACAGATTGGGGGCTGTAGTCAACACCGAGCATGCGCCCCGTCCATGGGCCCGCGGATTCTACTTGTGCTTCGTCGCCGTCATCTTCATCGTCGCCGTCGCCCACTTCCCGGAGAGAGAAGAGTAACGATCCGTTGCCGCAGCCCAAATCGAGGAAGGTGGTGTCGGAGCGGGATAGGTCAGACCGCGTAGAGAGAAACTCGAGGATCTTGGCCTCGGCGTCGGAGTCGTCGAACCAGACGGTGCCAATGTCGCTGGGGTTCGAGGAGTTGTTGGCCAGTTCGCTCGTGTAGAGGTTGTCCCAGCTGCATTTTCGCAAAAGAGTGTAAGTGGGCAGCACGAAGCAGAGGCGCAAGGCGGGCCGGGGGGGTGGTTGATCCTTCTTACTATTCTTTTGTGCCGAGCTTCGATGGCTCCAGATGTATTGGCCTTTCACTCATTTCGCCTCTGTATCAAAGAGAATATGAATCAGTCCAAGTAGCTTGTAGAGATGTTGGATTGCTGCGCTGCCGTCTATTGACTTCTGACTACTAATCCATCACCAAAGAACCATGGTGGGGTATTCAGATAAATTTACCTCCAGAAACAGCAAGCGGTGAAAGCTTCATGAGGGGCATGCAGATGGATTCTCCACCCGGCCCTACATGGCTCCCAACTCTCATTGCCCACTGTTCAGGGCCCTTCCCAAGTGGATAGTTTGGCACTGTGTCGGATGATTACTCTACAGCAGATACGTGTGGGAGGAAAACCAGACAGAAGAGTACACTTTGACAGGGAAATTGATGTTGGTTTTCACAATTTGATTGGGAATAACCATGGTCATAATTCTGGACGGATGATATCCCCAGAGGATCATTGACAAGCTTCCCTATCATACAACGCCTCCCATGCATACATGTCCTATATCGTTCCGAAACATCATTAACGTTGCTGTTTCCCCAAAAAGTACCTTAATTTTTGCTAAAAGGTATGAAGAAACTAGAAGAAAAAAAGGCTTTCCTTTCCACCCAACGCCGGGAACCCAAGCGAAGTAACAAGACCATTGACAGAAAGAGATGCGATGAGCTATGATGTGGGTATAAATCGCTTAGTAGAAGCTCTCCACTATCGTATCCTTCATGTTGGTGTTGATGTTGCTGGGTCCGAGTCCCTCGCCGAGGCGGAAAACACTCTCAATGACACTGAGCTCAGTTGCGGTGGTGTCGAGACCAGTGACGGCAAGCCAGTCGTTGACGACCATGCCGGCGCCAACAACATTGCTGCCGCGGTTTACCGATCCTGCGACCAGGGGCACTTGTAGCAGACTTGACAGCTCATCCTGATCTTGGATGCTGGTCTTGGGGTGGACCAGCCCACCCTGGTTCGATAGGCTCATATAACTGCCCACCAGGACATTGTCAGCGACCGTCTGTCGGAAGACCTCAACGCCCAGCACATCGGCGATGATTTCCTCGGTCTCGCGTTCCAGATCCGGGTGGATCAGTGCGATGTGGTCGTTGGCAACAATGACATTGCCGAGGGCCGAGAGTCGCTCCTCAATACGCTGGATTCGGACGCTGTCCGGTAGAGAGTTGCGCAAGTGCTGCAGCTCTTGGTCTGTTGTTGAGGTGGGAACAAGGAGACCCTTGCGGTTTCCAGCTGTGAGGCGGCCAATGATGCGAGTGCCGGCGATGGTTGTGCGGACTGTGGGGATGACATCTTGAAGTTCTGCCTCAAAGACGCTGTAGTTCCAATTCCATGGTCAGCCGAGCCCATAGATAGTTCATTCCTGGGGAAATGCTTGGGGCTATAACGAACCTGTAGAAGTTCTCGCTGGCACCGAGTGCTACCAACGCATACGAATTTGTAAGAGTCGCAAAGACACCCACTCTAGAAAGACACCAATCCAGTCAGTACACTATCTTTTGTCTCATTTTTCTTCGTCTACCCTCCAGCCCCGAATCCGACATTTGCGGTGTGCTGCAAGTTGACGAAGGACCGGGTCACGATGGCGGGGGCGGGGTGGTTTGCTCACTCGTTGGAATTTTCAAACTGCGCTCGAACCGCCATGATGGATTGAGATTGCTCCGGCGTCTGCTGTGTTGGGAGTATGGTGGAAAGAATCGATAAGAACCTGAAGGGTGGTATGAGCTCTCGACAGCGAAGAGCCGAAAGAGGAATGAGAGAGCTGAGTGCCGGATAAGCTGTGAATGTAGAGTGCGAAGCTGAAGATTTTCGTCGTGGTTGCTCTGTATTAATAAGTTGACAGAGGGAAAAGAAAAGGTGGGCCCTCGCTAGGGGATTTCAGGTATCGCTCCTTGTAGCTCTGCTCATTATTTGGGCGAGAGAATACTTGAAGCGACTTGGCAGTCCCTGCGGCGGGGTTCCATCACCAACTAAACTGCAACAGGGTTTCGAGGAGGGGCGGAATGGGCAGAATAAGAGTCATTGCCCAAGGTCAATCCACTTTGCTGAGCCTGGCCCAGCACTGTCACTGTGACTCAACAGGCCGTCCAGGTCCCTTTGCAGCAAATCCAAAGTGCCCGTGGCTGCGGTGGCGCTGGCGCTGGCACTGTCACCCCCAGCTCACAGCCCAGGTCCCGTCCCTCCTCTCTGGAGCGCCCAAGACTGACAAGGATCCATTTCAAGGGCTCTCCGTCACAGAGCCAAGATTCGCCATTTCGACTCATATCCACTAATACCACCATTCTCGAAAGAGTTGCAAAGGGCAGCTCGCATGATCCACATCGAAAACAGCATTAAAACAATGTGCATATACCATCGAAAGTCTTAGAATACAGATTTCTCCCAGCGCAAGCAAGGTTATGATTAAATTCCAGAGCTCTCAGGTTCTTCTCTGCTGAGTCTACCACTATAACCGCTACCAGAGACATGTCAAAAAGATCAACAGTACAAAATAGCAGCGTAAAAGAAGAATTCAACCAGATTATGTCCGAGACTTTACTATCATGCAGTTATCCATTTCGTCCATCATGTCCTTACTGGTATTTCAAGCCTTCACATCATCTCATGCCTCTTTCATGTCTTTCCATCACCAACCCTGCTTCTAAAACAACTCATTCTACATGTTCGTCTTCCAGTCATTCTGCTGGACCTCAACCAGCCAACCTCCCCACAACGGCGTCTGCCTCTATTTTCGCTTTCGAGGTCAACTCAAGTGGCAGGATCTCCATGGCCAAGGTCATCGAGGGTAGTACGTCCACACTGCTCAGGCAGGGCATTGACACTGTCACTCCTCGAGGGCCTGGCCCACTCCCAATCTTCGCAAACTTGCCCCCTCGTGGGCGATTCACAGTGTCCAGACAGGTGCCTTCATCAATACCTGTCTACCACGCACTTCCAGAGCTGGAAATCCGGCGAATCGCACCCTCGGTTCATCTGGGTTGAGTCCCTTGTCAGCACTTGTTGGTTCTAAGGTCGAGGCGGCGCCATCAGTCCAGCTAGATGGAGAGGTATCCCCAAGACTGTTCCTCGTCTGGCTAGGATATTTTTCCGTTTGACTCTTACCTTTCTCCTCCTTGTCGTCCCCAGAGTCCGTATCATCCAAGGGGGGTAATGGCGCCTTCTCGATCTCCATAATTCCTGGCTGGACGAGGTCGCCTGGCAGAGGATAAACAATGGCGACATCTCGACTTTCAAGGGGAAGGTTGGCGGTGATTCCAATTGCGAGTTCTACAATCATGGATGCGCTTCCTTCTACTCCAGGCGGAGGAGGCTCGTTAAGGTACTGGTAGAGCTCGGCTGTCAGGTTGGAAGTGGACATGGACGTTAAGTTTTGTCGATGTTCAGTCGTGGCGGGTGAGTTCAAGACGGAATTCAGCCCGTCGAGCGTGGCCATCCGCCAATTAACAATCTTAGTCGTGAGTGCGTCAAATTCTTCCTGGCTGTTCAATGTGTAAGCGCTTCCACGAATGTTCAACTCGATTCCCTTGAGATGAGAGCTCAATACAGGATCCAGTCCAGGATGGAAGACCCTGTCAAAAATCTGGTCCATCAACCATCGGGAGATAACAGCTCTTCCCACAGCCGTCATCTCCTGTTTGCCAGTTTTCAATGCATCCGAGCTCACGTATGCCGCGAGCCAGGGAGGGGCAGATCGCCAGTCCTTGCGAATGTTGAAGGCGAGGTTGTTGATCGCTCCGTTTAACCTATTGAATCTATTGGAATACTCGCTATCGTCCAGGGCTGTTCTAGATTGGGACATGCGCTGGTTGGCCACCGCATTCTGAAGCTGCTCGATTTGTCGCCCAAAGTTCTCGATTTGTGCTTTTCCATCGAAATAGAGACGCTTGACATTCTTGTACTTGGTGACTGCCTGTAGTTAGTGCAAGCTACAAAAGGCGGGATGCGAGAAGGAGGGATGCATTTGAGGATTAAAACGAGGGAAGCAGCAAGGTCTGTTCATAGAACTTACGTAGGTCCTTAAATGCCTTCTCTGATTCGCCGTGGTCTGGCGGTGCCGGGCTATGGCGTCCATGATCGCCTGATGTGTAGGGAGTAGGAGGAGGTCCAGGTTGGCCTTGTTGGGGGGCTCCAGGCTGCAGAGGGGTCAACTGGCCGGCAGATGAATTGTTTTGGCGGTACCCAGGAGGGGGTCCTGGAGGGACACCTGGAGGGACCTCAGCCTGATTTCGAAGAGCCACAGGCCTGGGCTCTCTGTCGCCGCCAGCAGGCCGCTGGTTGGAGGGGGGTGCTCCCGGTGGCGGGGCCATGCTCGATTGTTGGACAGATGAGCTTGCTAATTGCGCGGGTGCTAAGTTCGGGGTCGACGAGACAGACTCTTGGGTTCGCGCGGGGTGCTCCACGTTGGGCAAGATCTGGGCGGGTTGCTGGTTGTTGGCCCGCTGGTCTGGTTCGGTGGCAATTGGAGACTCGTGAGACACCTGCGACAGCGTTTCAGAATTCGGGTACTGCACGGAGGCGGCAGCAGAATGGGTGTCGGGGAAAATTCGCGGCTCCTCGCCGTGCTGGGGCTGGGTGGGAGAAGTGTTGGCGAGATGATACAGCTGCTGTTGCTGCTGGTCAAACCCAGTGTGGTTGTACCCGTGAGCCTGTTCTTGTGCTTGTGGGAGTGCCTGAGCGTGGGGCTGTTGGGAGGGTGGGGTTTGGCTTTGGGCCTGTAAATGCTGCTGTTGCTGCTGCTGGGTGGGGGGTGGATGTGGAGGGGGAGCCACCTCTTTTTGGGCCTGCTGATTTGGCTGGCCTTGGTGATAACCCACTTCGTCGTAGGTCGGCGACGAATCAGACTCGGGGTTGACTTGCCGTATAGTCGGGCTTTCAACAAGGTGCTGGACCGAGGGCGATTGTGTTGATTGAATTGGCTCGGGGCCAGTATATTGATTCTGAGCAGATTCTCCAATGCCTGCTAACGGAGCGGGTTCAGCTCTCTGCTGGTAGACTTGGCCTGGGCCGACAATTGGGCCTGGGCCGTGCCAGTCGCGATCCGAGAGGTTCGGGCTTGTGTTGGGCGACTGGGTTTGCGAATCAAGGAGGTTGCTCGCCCGGCGGGATTGTCGACGTGTCAGACCCACGCCGTTTTCGTAGGAAAGAGAGCTCTGACCTCTATGATGTCCGAGTGTGAAGCCGTGTGATGAGGACTGATGCTGATCGTTGTGAGAACGGCTGTTGCTCGAAAAGATGCCCTTGATGAAATTGCGCCTCGACCGTTTCTCGGGAGCTGCAGAGGAATTCAGTTGGGGGGACGAGTTGGGATGGTGCCTTGTTCCAGGTAGGTCTTCCACTGAGGCAGATCCGATACCGTGTGCAAGTTGGTTGCGCAGGTGTTGATGACTCTGGTGCTCCAAGGGCTGCGGTGGTATAGAGGCGTACGAGCTGAATCGCTGGGTTTGACTCCGGTGGATAGGAGACGGCGTAAAGCCAGGATTTCGCCCGCCTTCGAGGACTGGAGATTCGCCTGGACCTAGGATGGGCGAGGCAGTATAGGGCTGCGGCTGCTGCTTATATGGTGGGGGAAGAGGAACGCCGCTAATTGCAATGCCAATGTCAGTCGGGAGCGGCTGCGCTGGTGCCAATTGCTGAGATGGAGGTAGCTGTGATGCTGGGGGTTGGTGTGCAGCTCGAGGGTCGGCGACAGACGACGGCTCGGTGTTGGTGGTGGTAGTGTTGGTGGAAATGACTGAAGGGGGTGCTGTGGTATTTGACGGCGATGGGTCGGTCGCGCCTTGAGCCTCGGCGTGGTTGTGCGTATGGATATGGTGGTTAGGTCTGTGGAAGTGGTGGTGGTTGCTTTGGCTATGGCTCTGACCAGGAGGCAGATGAGGGCTTGGGTTCAGACTCGAGCTCTGGGGCTGGGCCTGGTTCGAAGAAGTAGCCTCTCCTGTTCCTCCCCCGGCGGCAACAACAGCGGCAGCGGGAGCAGCCGGCAGGTCGACAAGGGCTTGTTGGGAACGGTTGCTGTGTCTGCCGAGACGAGGGAAAGGCGGCATGTTCGACCGCAATCGAGCGTCTTCAGTCGAAATCAAACCCAAGGAGGAATCGGGAGGACAGATTAGGGGGAGCGGAGCGGGGGGGAGGGGGGGAGAGGGGGCGTGTGCAGTTCGGTGATGATAGGCAGAGCCCAGGCAAGCTAGTTATTTTTATGGGGTGCAGTCCAATTGACTGTGTTCTGGCCTCCGTCCAGGCGAGCTGGGGGAATTCCAGGTCAGACGATTGGGACGCTGCTGCGGTGCTGGGCTGTGCGGTGCCGTGATATACAATAGCCTGTGCTATAATTAATGCGCAGTTCAGTTCTGTCCGTAATGTACCAGTGGTGTAGTGGAGGTCGCTGGCCCGAGTTGTTGTAACGGCGAATCTTGGCTGCACCTGCGCCTCAACTGGCATGCATCGGCCCTTTGGCTTTTCTCTTTTTTTTTTTCGGCCGTCCTACTCTCACACCACGCAATGGGCTATCTTTTGCTCTTTCCCTTCTCTCCCAGAGAGCATCCCTAAATGGGAAATGAGGCGATGTGGCTTCGCAACAACTGGCCACTTGAATAGCTGGGCCAGGCCGGTGGGGGCTGTGCTCCCTGGCGCTGCGTGGGTAAGACGAACGAGCACGCTGAATGAGACCTGTCAGTGCGGGCGGCTGAGCTGATGTGTTGCGGCGCGAGGCGGTCAGATTGCGGCGTGGTGTAACGACGAAGACATTGGGAAGTCAGCGGAGGAAGATATTGGGTAGATAAGATGGCTGGACTAGATCCCCAGTGGCTTGCTCGAGTCCTCGTTCGTCTCAATACTTCGGTAAGTATGATTAATGCTCCGGCACGTCTACTGCAGGTCGGGGCTGGAGGGATCGGCAGACGAGCGCCAACAACGGCACACTGGAGTGAATGTATCCGAGCCTTGGCCCTGTCAATACTGTAACGTGTATAAATATACACTAATACATGGGTAAATACCGCTGTTGATGAGTGAGGGCAATCAGCGTGAGCCTCTGATCAATGGGCGGAACGCAATATGGCCTTGAACCTTCTGTAAGTATTAAGCTGCCTTGCAATATCCCTACTAGCCCCGCTAGTGAGATGTGCTGACATGGATCCCAAGATATTCTCACGAGATACCTGCCATTATTACTGCCAGTAATTTCCCCGCACAGCCTATTAGGTGCTAGACCTTCTAGTGGTGCCCAGACCACGAGTTTGGATTCTAAGTCAGACTGCTAGCCCTCTTCCAGCGGGCGTCGTGAGCCATTTCCAGCTGAGAGCCTACCTACCTAGGTTTTTTTAGAAGGAGGTGCCCGTACTATACCGGTTTCGCTATACCTAGACCACCGGAATTGGCCATGTGCTGATGATACAACCTGCGATGCCTATCAACTGCTGCATGATCCCGTTGAGAGCCAACAATTGGCCAATATTGTGACAGGGCTGTCGCTCAAATGTGGGCTTATTCGATTAAGGCTACCCCGAAATTATGTCATTCACCAGATGCTATTTTTGGCCATGTTCCCACCATCCATATGCGTGTGGTAGCTACCCTACAGATCCACTCTTGACAACTCACTCTTGCTGCCAGTTCTGCCTTTTCTTCCAACTTGGCCTAGGTGCTACCCTTATCTGTCTCTGGTCATGTTCATTCATGCCAAGTGATTGGTTTCTTTTTTTCGATATATTCACATCCATGTTTCGTTCGTTGTTTATTCACCAAGCTTGTCTGTAGGCCTGCTTGCTCACCTAGTCACATGTCGGCCCCATCATCGGGAAATAGACCACTGGATTGCTCCCCACAAGGTAATCACGTGCGATACGCTCCGACACTTGCAACTGGATGCATGGAAAACCACATCGATACCAGTACCACGTGGTAGGATGCAGTAGCCTGGCAAATGGGAGCAACAGAAGATCAAGTGTTTAGTACAAAAAATAAATAAATAAGGTACTGAATGGGGAAGCTTGCAAACATAATATATAGTACTATCGCACTTCTTGTTTATTTTCTACCATATTTAGTAGTGCTAATCAAAGTAGACCGAGCGTGGCACTTTGTATGCTATCCACCTCTTCGGCAATATTTAAACCATTTATTCTGAAACCCGACAGACTCCTCTATTGTCACGAATGTATTATTCCGCTGCCGATCGCATGTGAGGCGTCCCTTCCTGAGAAGAGAGTGCAGGAACTGGGGGATGTTGAGTGTGTTATTTCAACACACGTTAAGATGCCGATATGGGAAGTCCCATAGCGAAAATAGCATCTTCTGTCCTGGTTTCACCTGTATTGTAGCTTGAGCGATTGCAAGCACTAATGTGCTGCCCACCTTACTTGTGCACCCATATAGTAATTTGTGGATGCCTGTTTTGGTTCATTTGTAGAACCTGTATCGATTCCCCTTTTCTGTACTGTAACTAACTGCCCACGAGTCCCACGAGCTCTTACAACCATGGGAGGGGACCTTTGTTCGGTCTGACCCGAAAAGGTCTGGCGATGCCCCATGAACCGTGCCACTTGGTGCTTGTGGCTGGGTGGGTGAATCATACTATGAAACCGAAGAAGCATTTGACAGACGCGTACTTTGACGAAAAGATCCCATCGATACTGTCATGTTTCATCAAATACCAAGTACTCCATACCTCCATACCCAGGCTCTCTCAGCGTCGTGTTCACACATAGGCGCCAAAACAGGGCAACAACAAACATACTTGTCGAGTGGGCCTCCCTTCATTGAGACTGAGTCGCGGATGTTAGTCTTTCAATCACGGGCCAGTGTGAGGCTTGCCCTACTATTCCATGCCGAGAAATCTTTGTGAAGCCTTGAATGCGTCGGCCGGTACTGATTAGTTGGCCAAGCACCGGGACGCATACCAGTGGGCAGGTAGTTGGTACCTGGAGGATCTCGCAGGTACATGCGTGCGACCTGTCGAAACGACCCCTCCATTTAATTCGCTCCTCAATTCCAGAGCTAAGGCACAGTGGGTGTGGGTACATTGCCGGTACTTCCAGCATGCTCTCTTCCCCAGCTTCCCTGCCTGGCGCCGCTGTAACTGCTGTAACGCCTTGTGTGGCCCAAGGCAAAAACCGCCACACTCGGGCCTAGGCAGGTCCTGTTGTTCCGCCCTCCACTCACTGACACAGAGGTACTTAATCAAAGTTGTTCCTCTTTTTCTCCTCCCACCGGAATAAAAATTTCCTCACCCAGTTCTTGACTCCAACACAACAACAACCTGCCCTCGAAAGCCGGTTAATTCACTGCGTATATCAACCAAAAGTTGCCTGTTGACACGGACCCCCCGGTCGCAGAGTAAAACAATTCTTTCTTCCAACTCAGACAGACCACGAGCGTGTTCATCGTTGCAAAAGCTTCGACTGCCCTCCATCGTCCTTGACGCTACATCGTCATCTGTCCCCCAACCGGCCCCCTCGGCACAAGCATCACATATCGACTAGGAACGCATACATTTCTGTTTATGTATCAGCACGATAAAGTCACCGTGTCCAGACACCTCTTCAAGCTGCAGTTATTTCGCATACCGCGGAAACCTTGTAGCCCCGACATTTGTTCCGACGGTTGAAATTCCTAGAATCAATTCATGTCGCCCTCTTGCAAACACGACACTGTCCAGTTTGCCCTTATGTTCATAAAAAATCGCCCTCAGCTCTGATACCTTCACTCCTCGTTCAGCCCTCCTCGACTTCTCTTGCTACTTGCAGACTCTTCATGACGCCTCCCTGTTCATAGAGTCCCAAACAACCTCATCATAACAGCCTCGCCTTATTTATCCATCTACCACAACACCTATTCAATCTCGTCACCATGGCTCTCGTCAATGTTCGCCGCGACGTCAGCGACGCCTTCTATCGCTACAAGATGGAGCGTCTCCAGACAAAGATTGAAGGCAAAGGAAACGGTATCAAGACCGTTGTTGTCAACTTGCCCAGCGTTGCCCAGTCTCTCGCTCGCCCTGGCGCCCATGTCATCAAATACTTCGGTTTTGAGCTGGGTGCCCAGACCAATATGGACCCCAAGGATGACCGATGGATCATCAACGGTGCTCATGACGCAGCCAAGCTTCAAGATCATCTCGATGGCTTTATTAACAAGTTCGTCCTCTGCAAAAAATGTAAGAACCCAGAGACCGACGTTGTCATCAAGGATGGCCATATTCTCCTCGACTGCAAGGCTTGTGGTCAGCGCACCGATGTTGATCTTCGTCTCAAACTGAGCGGCTTCATCCTCAAGAACCAGCCCAAGAAGGGCAAGAAGGACAAAGCCGAGCGCAAGGCGGCCCGCAAGGCCAAGCAGAATGGAAACGCAAACAAGGAGAACGGTCACGCAAGTGGTGAAGATGGCTCAGAGAATGGCTCCAATGAGAATGGAGATAATGGTGATGCTGGCTCTGACGATGAGTTCCAGAAGATGCAGGCTGAGGCACCTGAAGTCGACGTCGAGGCTGAGGTCAAGGACCATGAGTGGTCTGTTGATGTCAGTGAAGAGGCTGTCAAGGCTCGCCAGGCTCAGCTCCCAGGCGAGTTCAAGCAGAAGCTGAGCATAGACGATGAGGAGGGTGGTGGCAACACCATCTACGATGAACTTGGTGATTGGATCCAAGGACAAGCTGCAGAGAAGGGTGGCATTGACAACGTTGATTCTATCAGCATCTATGTGAAGGCAAAGGAACTGGGAATCGAGGCCAAGTCCCGCACCATTTTGGTTTTCGCCCAGACTTTGTTTGACCAGAACATCTGCTCCCAGATTCCAAAGCGTGCCAGCATGCTTAAGCAGGTAAATCCTTTCTTCTATTTCACACTGTGGCCATGTTCTTCCAATACTAACGTTCCTCTAGGTCATTACCTCGGACCGTCATGAGAAGGCTTTGCTGGGTGGAACTGAGCGTCTCATTGGGCAGCTTGGAGCCGAGCACCCTGGACTTTACGACCAAATTGTCAAGATCCTTCAGCTGTACTACCATCACGACTTGGTCAGCGAGGAAGTTTGTATGGCATGGGGCTCTAAGGCGAGCAAGAAGTACACGGACATTTCTATTTCTAAGAAGGTTCGCAAGGCTGCTGCGCCATTCCTTACCTGGCTCCAGGAGGCTGATGAGGAAGAATCTTCCGACGAGGAGTAAATGGATACTTTGTTTTGTTTGCACTCAACTCCGCTCTATCTGTTCTTCCATTCGATGCGTACTGGCTTAGTGAAGTGGATGTCGGCTTGCTTGGGATTTTACATGTTGAGCAACACAGGAATCTCTACTGGTTATATGCAGCCGCCGTACAATTAGATTATTAAGTTAGAATGCCATGCAGTTTTTCATTATGAAGGCACATCGTACCATGGTGAGATTTGAGGGTATCTAAAATTCATGATGTCGCTGAGAGTATGTATTTATCTATCCTGTGGTGAGTACTCGCCCAACACCAAAATTGCACATCCTGCGGCTGATATCCAGCGTCCACCTCTGGACTCAGTTTCATAGTGTCTTTATGCTGAATCATATGTTTCTTCTTGCTCCCCAGCCTTTGAAATGAACTCCCACAAGCTTCCCACCGCTTGATCAACATCTTCAAGATTGATGGTTGTGTTGAAGAACTCAGGAGCCTTTATTTTGGCACACTCCTCTGCATTGTCTGCGGATCCATCGGCGGTTGTGTCCATGTCTGTGTCTGCTGGCTGGTTCTGAGATGGGCTGATGAAAATGTACCGCGCTTGGTAGCCCATGTCTTTGGCGAATTGAGCTGCCTGCATTGATTGTTAGAATGACCAGTAGAAGAGGGGGTTATTGAAGGGAAGGGAAGGGATTCAAGGAGTAACGTACCTCGACATTTAATTGAATGATGGGAATCTTGTCATTATCGGCAATCGCATCAACAACCTTGATGCTTGTCCCGTAGCTCACATCCGATGCTTCTGTGAATTCAATAAGACGATCACCATCGCGTAGCTGGTTGAATTCGGGGGCTTTGACAAAGTAATAATCCTTGCCATTGACTTCGCCCTCATTCGGCTCGCGGGTCGTGTGACGGACAACCTTTCCGAACACGCCCTTGTGAGAACTCAACAACTTGCCAATAATGTCGGGCAGATTTCCCTGCTCAGAGCTGGAAACAATGATAGGCGATCTGTTATCAGGAAGGTCCTCAGCCTCGCCGTTATCATCGTCTCCATCCTCGTCGCTGGGTGCTAGGAAGACTGGGTTGATGTTCTGCGGGTCGTCGATCTTATCAAACGATGTTAATTTCGACTTACCGGCGACTCGCAAGGCCCTCCAGCTTTTGCTGGCTTTGCCAGCTACTGCCGTCGCCTTGTTCAGGTCGTTTGATGCCATGCTTATCGCAAAATCGTCATCGGCAATACCGGTCTTGAAGCTGTCGAGTTCTGGTAGTCGGTGTCGTTCAGGCTCTTTGAACTTCTCGAGTGACTCTTCTCCATCCACTGGTTGGAGAAAGTCTAGTGATACAGCACCCATGGGGTTTGGCCGAAGTCGCTTGCTTGTCGCAGACCTCTGAGCCGATGACTGGGCATCGGCATATGTCTGGGGGTTGACAGGATTCCGAGTGATCGTAGGACAGCTCGCCATCTTCCAATACACCCAGTTCTTGTCTCTAGCGAGAACTGTATCGACCATCCGGTAAAATATCCTTCCGGGTGTGTCCTTCCTCATATGATCGGAGATTTTGATCTTGATCTCTTTGGCCCATTTCGCCTAGAACAGGTTAGATACTAAATCCATAGACAGCCGATTGTGGTCGTACTCACGTCATCGTCATTGAACTCGGCTGCATATAGGACCGACTTGTTTTGTACATTTAGCTTGTCGTACTTCTTCTTGGCCTCAGCGGTCCAAGATAATATGAAGTTGAGGGTAATGAGAGTTTGCACCATGATATGGCGTCTGAAAGTGAGATCGCTGATCTGTGGATAGAATTAGTTGATGGAAGCTTGAAGCTGTACAAGAAAAGAAGGGGGGAGGGGCTACCTCTAGCTCAAATAAATCCTTGCTCGTTAGATATTTTGGGTTGAATGCTTCTAGGAGTCCTTCTTTTTCTTCATCCTCTCTCTTTCGCTTGAGACTAGTTTTAGTTTCATCAGAAGGGTTCAGCGCTGGTAGCCCCTCATCGGAAGGATATGTTGCAAACTTTTTGACTGTTTCTTCAATGCCACGTTTGAAGCTTTGCATGCAAGACTGGTCAAAGAGCTTCAGAGGCTGACTGAACATTTCTTGAAGAGGCCAAAATAACGGATATAATGCATCCGAGGACAACACCTCCTCCTTCTCCTTGTTCTGTGTCCCCCCCTTGGTACTTTCCTTCGATGCTCCTGTTTGCGGAGTATCGACCACCATTTTCGAATCTTCATTGTCGATGGCTGACTCGAAATTTGTTACATTTTCGACATGATATTCACCCCGAAGGTTCACTGAACTTCTGTCACCTAGGGGAAAGCTCTGGAACAGAAAAATGAAGACCCTGCCGCAAAAGGCCGTATCCTCCGCTCTGGATAGCCTCCTCAGGAGTTCAGTACACATGCGCAAAACAATAAGACTCCATTTTTTGAAGGTTCGTTCTGGCGTGATGCGTTCGCGTCTGGATTCAAGGTAATCGAATATTACTCGGCATTCAGCGATCGTCTTGCTCTCAACTAGCTCTTCGATGAGCCAGAACAATAATCCCGGATCGCATTGTCCATTATCGGAGATGATTGTCAAAATGTCGAAGAGATTCCATATTTGAGTAATGTCGGGGTTGTTGATTGATGTCGAGGTCTATCTCTCGCTGTCAGTCCAGCTCGGGGCAGCATATAGAAGGCATGAAAAAGTTTCACGTACAACAAGCCTGCCAAAAAGGTCCCGTGCCGCAGTTTCGACGACTTGCCACCGGCGATCTTTCAGCTGCTCTTTGGTAGAATCATCTTCCTGCTCGGAAGGCGAGGGAGTGACGTGGGATAGTGAGGAATCGACGCGTGTTGAGATTTTGTCTAGGTCGGCTTTCGTCACCGGAGGATCAATCCCCAGAGAGTGCGAATTCCCTTGAGCTGGGACCTTGAGAGTTGTTGCTTCATCTATGAGATCATTAAGAAGAGCGCCAAAGTCTGCGATCGCGCTCACGCCAGGGTTGCTAATGTCCAAGGCGGGCATTGTTGAGTATCGCGAGGTTGCTAGCTTTGGCGATGGCGCATGGATCCCGTTCGTTGAAGGTTTGAGAGCGATCACCGGAATAGATGATTCTTTGTAGTTATTATATCATGCTCGAAGAATCCTGCATCGGGTCCGGCGGAGGTGAAGAATTGTGGGTGAGCCGAACTGGGATTGGAAACAAAGAAATGACTATCGGACTTTCATTGGTGTAGAATCATTGAAGCTTTCAATATGGAAGACAATGCACGACCTGCCAGATGAATGAATACCTGCTAGGTGCCTGAATGCAGGTACTAAGCGACTAGGTAGGTACTGGGCGCGTATCTCCACACCGATTACACGCGTCTGAACCGCAAAAAGATACTTTGTGGATACTACCTCCGATGACTTGCAAGAGATAAGATAAGACCCTCTAATTTGAGGTACGAAGGTACATTATGCGAGCTTGAATTCTTCAGGTTTCGTAGCTCAGCGTGTGAGCAGTCTCTAGACCCGCGTCTTCCTCGCCCGAATCTCGCATTAGCCCTTCGAGGGGTTCGGGAACGAATCGAACATTCGATGATAGCAAAACGAGTCCGATATGCCTAATTCGAAGAGGCTCAAGGGCAGCGGTGCTACCAAGCCCCAGAAACCAGACCCGTCGCATAGGAGCAAGTTGGAGAATGCTCGCCCGACTCCCGCTGAAGTTGAGGAGGAAGAACACCCATTTGTGCAGCTGGCGCGAAAAAACTGGCTCAAGTCAGGCAAGAAAAATGGCCCAGTCAAAGTGAAGAGCGACGTTCTGAAGCAAGGGCTCTGGGATGTCCTGGAGCGCGAAGGTTTTCAATACAAATCTCTGCGATTGCTGGAGAGCTTACAGACCTTGGAGAGGTATACTAGACTTGTGCTTGGGAGATTTATCTTCAATTGGCTTACTGAATGGACTTTAGTTACCTGTGGCCTGGCTACACTGAGGAATCCTCCAACTTTCATGTGCTTTTGGTCGCGTTGATCATTAATGTCAAACGCCGAGAACAACTTGAGACCTGGTGTAGGTTTTAACCTGTTGCAGGCACCTTTCTCGGACCAATGCTGATTATCTAAATAGCTATTTTTGAGAACAGGCCGGCTGAGTTCTCTTCCATATTTCGGCGCATCATTTCGCTGGTTCTAGATCAGACTCTCGCCACGACCATCAGAACACAACTGCTCGATTTTCTTATATATGCCTTCCAGAGCCTTGATAGTGGCATTATTCGAAAGGAGTGTGCTCCCTTGGTGTCTATAGGCATCTGGCATAACCTTTCTTCCGATGAAGCCCGAGAGCAACACCTTAATGCCAACACACAGCTGAGAAAAACATGGAGGGCTGCGAGCAAGCGTTTTGACGCGGCTGACGAATCTGCGCGAGCCAAGCTTCGATTTGAAAGATCATGGCTGTACACGCTCCTTCTTGGTTTTCTAAATATGCTCTATCAGGCTGAGAGCACACCTGGTAAATACTTCGTCCTTATTGGTTGCTACCATGCGGTCAACTAACTGATCTACATAGAAGAGACACTGTTCTGTGAGCGCTTTACGGAATTTCTTTCGGATTTGCAAAGCCAATTGCCCACTCGGCGATACGTAAATACTCTTCTCTTGGACCTCCATATCATCCCTGCCATAAAATTGTCACCAATGTTTAACGAGGAAGACAATGGGCTTCTGCGAGAGCTGCACGCGCTCCTCGCCCATTATACCTATTTTACGATTGATGATCAGACTGGCATGCAGTTGAGTAACGGCGAAGCGTACGACAAACACTGTGCAGGTCTAGCCAAGCTCCAACGAGTTTCGTTAAAGGATTTCAAAGACAAGCTTGCGGTTCTGGCACTGTCTAACTACGGATCCATCGACAAGAGGGAAGAACTCCAATCACTGCTCGAGCCACTGACAGATGAAGAGATACTGCGATTGCTTTCTTCATTATCTTTTCGGACAACATACCCAAAAACTTTGCAGATGCCGCT